ATTCTCTCGAGAGTTCGTATAGCCACACCTGCAATACATGCTCAAAATTCTCATACCCCCTCCCTCATATCTTCCCTAAGAACGCAATTATTACCCCTACCCCACGTCGATCTTCACTTACACGGTTACCCCTTAATCTCACCCCACAAAATGGCTTCCTGTGCGACACCCCCATTTTTTACACATCACTACCACCTGCTACAATATAGCAGGCACACGCACAATACTGCATTACTACAAATAGTCCTTACTGCGCATGATACAACGGCTATGATAGCAAACTCCTTTCCGCCTCTCCCCGCTTTCTTCCCCCCAGGCTCTCTCTATCTCTTTCAGAACAAGTTTACTTACGAAGTGATCCTGGTTCCAAAAGGTCTGGCACACTACTGTGACGAACAACTTCCCGAACCTGTGCTATCTTTCCCTGTATCATACCAACCCCATGAAAACCCCATTTCGTTTCGGGCGCCGTGTTTTTGGCCCGTATCTCTCGGAAGCTTTTTGCGATTCTCGGGTTCTGCTTTTTCTTTTTACAATTTGGAAAATGCATGGGAATTTACATGCGCCTTAGCAAGCGCGCTGGGAATTGGGCCTGACAGTTGGGAATTCCGGGATAAGCGGAACGTCGACGTGTCCATTTTGTGTGTGAATGTTCTTGGTCACGTCGGGGAAAACTCTCGGAGTTTTGTGGGGATACGAATAGGCGTAGGACTTTCTTTTCCCGCGTCGTCCTTTCGCGCGTGGATATGGTGATTTCAATTTTGAATTGGTCTCAGACATAGGCAAGTTGTAACTGTTTCGGTGTCTTTTCTCCTTTTTTTGTTGACGACGCCGCCCATGCAAAACTTTGTCCTCTCTGTCCCCCACATCGCTCTCTCCCGCGCTCCTTTTTCCTTCCCCCTCCTCTTTCTCTCTCCTCGTGACTGTTTTTCTCACTCTCTCTCTCTCTCTCCCGCTCTGTTCTTTGCGCGCCCATTTCCCTTTCTTGATCATCTGAATCTTAGACCCACCTTGCGCTACTTCTCACGCCTTTTCTTTTCTCGCCCTTCGAGCAAAGCTTGCAAAGTCCGGTCGATCCTTCGATTACTCTCGCCCACCAATCAGACGCGTGGTACGGTAGGATCTGCCTATTGCTCGACGAGTCTGATTGGCCAATCGCCGAGTTCCGAAGGATCAACATGGCTTTTATAGCGCGCTTCTCTCCAAGTCTTCTCCTCCTGCTTCTCTTCTTACACTTCGACTTTCCCCCTGCATTCTCTCTCCCTTGTCTCCTTCCTCGCCACTATAAATTCCGCAAACGCGCCCGCAAATCCCTCTTACGTTCTCGATTCCTCAGCTTGCTTCCGGGAAGCAGTTGCTAGGCAGAGTGTTCGGGGCGAGTCGGAAAGTCCTATCGGGCTGACGCCGGGTTGGCCGGTTGCGCGCTTGATCGCCACGACGGACTGTGGGATTTGGGCGAACCGCGTCGAACTTGCGTCGGCAGGGCGACGATCGCAGTGGTGGGAGTTAACACGCAGCGGCCAGGATCGTCGGTGCGGGTATGAGGATTGATGATCGGAGTTGAGTGGGTGATTGGCCCGGGGCCATATTGGAATTCACGGCAAATGCGCCTTTGTTGTTGCAGATCTTTATCTTCTTGCGTGAGTGTGCGGCGGCAACGCCGAACTTCCTCTTTCGGATTTTGTCCTCTCCTATCTCGATATTCCTTCCTCATCTCTCTCTCTCTCTCCTCTATCTTTGAAAGACGATGTGCYTTRATGTTTCCTCTCTCTCTCTTTCTCTTGAATGGGAACGAATCTGTGTGTTTTCCTGGGTGAAAGAACTTCTTCCGGAACTCTTCCATTAGTTTCCTGGGTAATCCTCGAATGCAAAGGGACTCCGTCTTTCTGTCTTGTGAACGGTAGATGCGTGTGTATTGTCGTCCGGTTCATTTCTGATCCATGTGCATATGTCATTTTCGCAYCTTCCACAGTGGATGTATGTGTGGAGAGCAGTGGTTATTTAATCTTGATGGGCTTTTGTTCGWRAATGCAAGAGTGTTTAGATCTGTCGCATTAGATGCGTAGCGCATGCCATCTGCCTTATGCTGCACGACATCAGCGTCCGACCTTCAGGGCGGCCCAATAAAACAAGGCGCCCACCAGTTCGGTTAAGTACCCGGCCTAGCTAGTTCGATAGGTTCTCTTCTTCTCTCGTACCGAAAGAATTAATTGAATGATTGAATTGTTTGTTTCTCCGAATATTCGTAATTGATTGATATGCGGAGTAACGAACGCCCTTCGATCGGGCGCCAGACTCCCGTATCCGCCACGTCAGCACGACCCTTCCCCTACAACGAGTAAAGGACACGTGTGTGTGAGTGGCACGTACGAGAAGCTGTCGCACGGATCGGCGGACGATATTCTTTCCCTCCGGAAGATCGTCGTTCTGGATTCGTGGAGGCTGGATTTGTCATTATTGATACGCATTTCCCACCTTACTCAGTATTGTTGCCATTTAACGAGTAAATCGTCTTCCTGTGGACGGCAGTAGAACCCCACTGGCCTCGCACCCCGTGCACTGAGTGTCAGCGCTTCGAGCGCTACGAATCCAGGGGCTTCCACTACCGTGTGCGGAGTGAAGACGAACACAGAGAAAGAGCCACACGACTGCGGCCTTCCACGTCAGACTCAGAACTGACCAGTGAGCGACGTCAGGACCTAATACGCAAACGAGACACGCGAAGCATGCCGGAGCCTTTTTGCTCCAAACGACGCGCCGTAGCGAGGTGGGAAGTCCGACAATATTTTTTGGATTGAATTTGTGTTTCTCTCTCCTTTCGCGCCAATTCCGTGCGCGTAATCCGCGCCGCGCAAAACACGATCGACTTAGTTCATCGGACCCATACGGGGGATTTCAGTTTTGTCTTTGTCCCCACACTCAATTTCCAAAAATCCTTGGCGCACCCCATCTTGCTGTTTTTCTGGGCCCCTTTTCCGCACTCTTATCACTCCGAACGGAAGACAGCACAGGGCGTGAGGTTGGTATCGGAGCCGACACGTGTCGATTCTGATGATAGTAGGTCGATCTGGCGAGAGGAAGAAGAAGCCCTCAACCAGTTAGTAGAGATCGACCAGTGACCAGGTCTCGATCTCGTGCAGTTGCCCCAGCCATGCCAATGGCAGACGGTAACCGGGTGGTTGTTAGCATTCCTGCCCCTTTCCCCTTCTTCCCTAACCATACCTATCCCGAGGCTTGGTTGGAAGCCATCGAAGCTCAAGGCTACAGCGATGGAGATTTTCCCCTCATTCTTACCTTGCTGCTTCGCAATACGGCACATGACTGGTTCAGAAAGCACACGTGGGTAGATTGGAATACTTTCAAACAGGCATTCCTGGCCCGATTTGACACGGTTAGTGAAGACGTCGCCTGGTACGTACTCAAAACCCGACCACAAGGACCTGGGGAATTACTGCCCGACTTCGTAGATCGCTTTCAAACCACGTTGGACAAATCTGGGCGGGATGAGAAATCTGCCCGAGATTTGTTTATTGATCACCTACGAAGTCCGACGTTGAAAGGGAAGTTACAGAAAAAGGTTCCTCCTAAGACACACCAGCTGTCGGCGATCATCGCTAAAGCACTTGAGTTAGACCTGGCCGATACAACGAAATACATCAGCCAGGGAGACGAAGACATCACAGATACGATACAAGATGTAGAAGCAAAAAGGCAATCGTGGCTAAGGGCAGTGGAGCGGTCTTATCCCCATGACTTCCCCGACAGAGCCGTTTCTAATAGCTCATCGACTTCTTTTTCCTCTCCCCCGCTGAATCAACCAATAGCGGCGGTTAAGAACCGAGTCTCTCACGACCCCCCCTCTCCGGCCATTACGAACCTACACCTAGCACAGATGATCCATATAGCCACCACCAAACAATCCGAATGGATGAGTAACTTGATCCAAATGCAGGCAGCTCACATGGAGCGGATGGAAGAGATAATGAGCAGGCTGATTAAGCCTAACCCAGTTCCTGCTCGACCTGCCCCCGTGTCCTTTCCACTCGTACCTGCCCCTCCTGCACCCATATACTCACCACCGTTCCCTCATCCCGCTAACCCAGCAGGGAAGGTCGAATGTTTTCACTGCAAACAGCCCGGGCATTTCGCTCGGGACTGTCCACAGCCAAAACGTACTCAGCCCCCACCTGCTGCGGCCCCCATAGCTCTGAATCAAGGACGAGTGGCCGCACTAATGGACACGGCCCAAGGAGGGGAACTAGCGGCGTACGCCCCCCAACAGCCCTCCCCTTCGACGGCAACGGCGTCGACCTCGGGAGCTTCTTCCTCTTACGCTGCTGACGTGGTCGATCCACTCGAGTATCTTCATCTTGCACGCATGATCAGAGCAATCCAATCGGCCCATGATGATCTCGAATGGGTCGATCGCGAATCTAATCCCGGTCCACGATTTCGGACGGGAGAAATTGATGTGTTACGAGCGCTCAAGCAATTGGATATCCGTGTTCCGATCCCAGTGGGACATCTGCTCACCATATCTGAAGCGACAAATGATAAACTTTTTCAACATTGCCAGAAAAATCAAAAGTGCTTCACTTATCAGTGCATACAGCGAATGTTGAAGAAGAAGGAAGGAGGCGAGGACGTTGCACCCCTGAGCCTGACACGGGGGAACCTGAACCTGAAGCCGCGCGAGTAGCTGCGATTTCGTTAGCAGAGACAGATCACTTCGTACGAGCTCGACCAATGTTGTGGAAACGCACGGAATGCGATTGTGAAGTTTGGGGCAAACCGTTTAATGCCCTCATTGATACAGGGTCGTCCGCAGTAGCCATATCATTAGAAACCGTCCGGAAGACGAGACGACTCGGATCCATTCTCCCTCAATCTGGCAAAGACCATTATGTCTCTGCCCGACGAGGAAGCAATGAACATCGTGGGTGTCATCAAGAACGTGGCTATAAAAGTCGGACGAGTACACGTCCTCGTTAACACGCTCGTGATAGATGTGCGCTCCTATTCTGTACTATTAGGATTACCTTGGGCAATGGCGGTGGGTGCCCGTTTGCATTTTGATTCCAGGCAACTGGTGCTCACGCAAACTGGGGGAAAGCCTCAAACTGTTCCCTTGCGAATTTCCACCCGAACGATAAAACGAACTCCTAACTCGGCCCAAACAGGGATGATTCGATGCATTGATCCCGATGAGTATTCTTCCTCGGACATCGGTAGAGGAATCGGGGAACAGGAATACGAAGAAGAACTGCCTAGTGAGGATGAATGCAAGCACCTGCTCGAACTTTTCGAACACGAAATTCCCGAAGAATTTCGAGTGTACCCCGACACTGCCCGAAGCTTCCACGTAGATTTAGGAGACAGCGCGCTCGCGCCTCCGAAAACCCAGGTCAGTCCTTCAGTCCTCCTCGGGGAAACCATATTACAAGTATCTGACCTGGCCGATGATTTGGAAGCCCCTCGTACCTTGTACGAGGAAGCACTTTCCTTACGAACACGTTATCAACAAACGGAACAGTATTTAGACGTTTCTGTTTTCCCGCCCAGATCGTTACTAACGACAGGGGCGACCATCGCTTTGATTAAACAGGAAGCAGAAGCGCCAGTAGATGACGTGCCTGATCTAATGCAGGAGATGACGGACCTAATAGGACTGACTGTGGAACAAACTTCAGCCGGTTCAGAAACTGACGCCGAAACTAAAGAAACCGAAACAATCACCGGCAGCCCCGCCGAATCACAGATGTTTGCGACTGTTTTCTCTGTTCGCACCAGTAGTTCCGTCTTTTCGAGTGTCTACGATCAACGGGAGCGGCCGGTTGATTGGATCGACATACCCCTTCAAATTTATGAGGAATCGACAATCGCCCTGCCGAACCACGTCCCGACGGAATTCCGGAAATCATTAATCTGTGTTTTGAATGGCTACGCGGAGGTATTAAGTATACTTGATAACGATATTGGCCTGACTAACGTGATCGAGCATGCCATCCTCACGGGAGATCATCCGCCCATCAGCTGCGTTCCTTATCGATACTCACCTGCTCAAAGAGCGGCCGCTTTTCAGCGGATCAAAGAGTTCAAAGTTAATGGATGGATCGAACCCGCTATAGGTCCGTGGTCTTTCCCTGTAGTAATCGTACCAAAAAAGGTCGGAGGGATTCGCATTTGCATCGACTACCGAAAAGTGAATGATATCACGATCAAAGATGTATACCCGCTCCCCCGGATTGATGAGCTGCTGAATGCGATTGGGAGTGCTCGATTTTTCAGTAAGTTTGATGTTCGGCATGGATTCCATCATCTCCTTGTCCGAAAGGAAGATCGTCCGAAAATTGCCTTTGTGCTTTTCGAAGGAACGTGGCAATGGATTCGGTGTCCGATGGGTATCTGCAATGCCCCCGCAACCTTTCAGCGAGCCATGAACATGGCTTTTCATAATTTCGTGCGGAAGACTCGTTTGGCGCAGGGCATCATCAACTACTGCGTGATTGTGTACATGGATGACATCCTGGTGTATTCAAGTTCTTACGAGGGACACGTGCAGCACATCGAATGGGCCCTACATGCATTACGAGATACTGGCTTCAAGGTGGCGCTTAAGAAGTGCCAGTTTTTCCTTACCACCATTTCCTTCTTAGGACACGTGGTAACAGACAAGGGGCTCCAATTGGAGCCGCAGAAGGTGGCAGTTGTCAGAGATGCGCCGGTGCCTACGACTATCACGCAAGTTCGCACCTTTTTGGGCGTGGCCTCGTACTACCAAAGATTTATCAAGGGCTTCGCGACGATTGCGGGACCCCTCACAAATCTACTGCGCAAAGATCAGTCGTTCATCTGGACATCGGAGTGTGATCAGGCGTTTTCGAAACTCAAGGTTGCGCTCATCTCGGCCCCGGTCCGTATAAGGCCGGATCCCGAAAAGCCTTTTGTTCTCATTATTGACTGGCAGCCAGAGGCAATTTCGGCGATCCTGGCACAGGTGGGACCAGGTGGGCTCGAGAACGTGGTGGAGTATGCGTCCAAATCGGTGCCCGCCTGCAAGTGCAACTACGCCGCTCCGACAGGAGAATGCTACGCAGCTCTCTGGGGAATCAGTCACTTTCGCGCTTACCTGTACGGGCGGAAGTTCACCTTGGTAACCGATCATGAGCCCCTGTTGGCTCTGAAGAAATCGAAGGATTACTCTGGCATGATCGGGCGATGGGCAACGGTGCTGCAGAGCATGGACTTTGACATTCGTCATCGAAAGCACGAGAGACACGGGAATGCGGACGGACTGACACGACTGCACCGGCCTGAGAAAGTTCCGAAGAGTGAGGAGGTGATTCCGTGGAACGAACCCAAACAGGAGGTTCGACCTCGGTACTGTCAAGTGGAGGTCTTGTCGAAGCAGTAAGTGACACGAGGACCAATTTGTCTGTTCTACCCTCTCCGCAATTCAGTCCCATCTCTCCTCCTTTGTCATCATGACTACCCCACCTGTCTCCGTAACCCCTTCTTCTCATACTAATTCTGCCCCTCTCACTTCCTTAGCTTTCTTTGCCACCCTCCCCGATAAATTCTGCTATTTTTGTACGTGTATTGCACGGGTTTATGGGGTCGATTGTCATCCTTTCGAAACCGGGTTTGTCGATTGGGTAGAATGTGCCACGTGTGTCAATCGTGTGCACGGGGCCTGCGTTCGATATCGGACGAGTAGCCAGTAATGGAGGTGCCCCCTGTGTAGAACGAACAAACTCCCCACGGAGGTTCGATTCGAGGCTGCCCATACGGACGGCCCTGAATAACACGAAAAATACTAACGAGCGGAGGTTTGGACGGATAAAATTTTATTGCCGAAATTAGCGGGATTATCATTGGGTCACCTCACCAAACACGACAGACGTAGGGCAACCGAGAGATCTCAGGACTATCGGTAGATCAACGGTCATTTGGAGAAGCGTAAAACTGACGGATCAGGTTCATGGTTGACGGTTCCCCATCCATTCCAGAGATATGATTGGATCCGATCGGCTCACGAAGAACAGGCCGCTCTTTTCGCGATACGTGTCACGGAGGCAACTATAGACCAGAACCGATGGTTCTGGTCCAATATACGAGATGATGTCAAATACATTGTCACCAACTGTCTGGTCTATGCCGCTGATCGCGCCCCAATACGGGGACCGAACACGATAGTACCAACGGAAGTAGAGCGTCCCTTCCAGTGAGTCAGTATGGACACGACAGATATCGATATGCCACCTTGCCCAAACCGCTGTGAATATTCTATCGTTTTAGTATTAATTGACCATTTTTCCAAATACATCGAGGTCTATCCCTGTAAGACCCGCAAGGCCGCAGAAATAGCCACATACATTGATCGGTTCCTCTACACTCATCTAGATACGGAAGAAATTCTAACCGACAATGGGTCCGAATTTAAGGGAGAAGTAGAGGAACTGCTCGCACGAAGGGGCGTCTTGCTCCGACATACGACACCCCACGTGTCTCAGTCGAACGGATTGGCGGAGAATGCCAACCGCATGATTAAAACCGCCCTTCACAGGAATTTAGCGGCACACGACACGCGTCCGTGGCCCGAGATCGTATATCAGATCGTCGGGATCCACCGGGTCACCCCTCACGAGTCTACGGGGTTTACCCCCTTTCAGCTTCGTATTAATAGCCTCCCCTGTGTCGACTATCGGGGTAACTCGAAAATTGCCGAAGCAGGGGGTAGAGACACGCGTGCAGCCCTCAAGGCCAAGGCCAAAAGGTATACCGAATTAATGGAGCGGGCCGTCCCGAAGCTAGCCCGAAAAAGACAGAGAATGACTGATCTGGCCCACGGTAGGCAGGTCCGCAGCTACGAGGCTCGAAATGGAAATGTTGGGCCCCAGCATCAATATAAATTAGGGGACCTAGTGCAGGTATGTAAATATGCACGCGACCGGAAACTCGCTCCCAAGTTCTCTGGCTGCTTTCGTGTTGTCGAGCTCGATCCTAACGGTGCCAACATGGTGCGCATCGCGCCTGAGGCTAGTGCCAGCCATAGCTCTCTGTCCCCATCGTCCAGCATACCTCCTACCTTCGTCCTCTTCCTCCCTCTGATCTTCCTCCCTCTTCTTCCTCGGAAAGCGAGTAGAACGACGACAATCTAACTCTCTCTCCGCTCTCCCCCTCCTGCCCTTCGTCTTCCTCCCCGTCCTCGCCATGAGCTTCATCACGGAGCGGGCTCTGGATGATCAACTGCTGCAGCCACGTGGCCACATCTCGGAAATTCGGCAAGTTCGTCACCCACGGCTTATTACGGATCTTCGGCGTTTGGCGCAGTTCTTCTGCGACGTGGGTGTGTGTGCCACCGCCGCGTTTCGATTCGAAGGAAGTCCTCAAACAGTGGTATTGGCGGAAGTAATAGCAGTTCATCGGCGAGCGGCTCCCGGAACGAGCCACGTCACCACGGTTGCAGCTTTCAGCGGCGACATCAGTTCGATCAATCCACAGTGGCATACCGCGATCTTGACCTCGCTGCGAGAGTGGACAGAGCGGGTGTCCAACGTGTGGCAGCACGGTCTTGCTCGACCAGGGCACAATCTCATCCCGACCTTTGCACCGGATCTTGGCGAGATTCGCCGCTCCCCGCACGAGCCGGCGATTGCGATCCCTACCCTCGTCCCTTTCCCACGCCCCCAATGAACCACGTCGTTCCTCTCGCTCCTCTCTCCATCTTTGGTCTCCCTTCTCTTTTCCCCACCTTCTGGCAGTCCGATCTTCATCCTTCTCTTTCCTTCTCGATCGAGCCCCTTTTCGTCCCGCTTCTTAATCCTGGGCATTGGCGACTTTGGCGCGAAACCTTTGTCGAACTATCCCTGAGTCTGGCTCTGGTACAGGTGACGTGGACGCAGACCAGCGAGCATCCTGCGTGGATCGAAAATTTGGAGTTGCTGATCATACAAGCTTGGAAGACCAACGTCGAAGGCGATCTTCTCGGCTTCCTTTTTGGATCGGTACGGTCGGGCCACCGACAGTTGATTGCGCAGGAGCTCATCGCGCCAATCGTACAATTGGCGGATGATCTCTCACTAGACATCGTCTCACAAAGTGACGACAGCCCTGCCCCGCACGTCCTCACGCGGTCATTGGATCCGTACCTTCAGTGGAGTGCGTGCTTGGAGGAGCCTGGGGATGAAGATACGCGACTGTAGCGGCAGGAGTATCTGAAGCCATACGGCATCATCGATCACGCCTTTTATCCGAAGGCCGAGGAGGTGGTGATTGGCGACGACGAAGAAGAAGACGACGATGAGGAAACGCCAGAGGAGGGAAGCTATAGCGAGTACAGCGAGGGCGAGCTGAGCGAAGAAGAGGAGGAGGAGGAAGAAACCGGATCTGAGCAGAAGCCCTGCCGGAGGAAGCCACGCGTACAGGCACAGAGGTGGAAGATCCGGAAGCGGTGCGCAAGCGGGAATAAATTGCCACCGGGAAACGCCAGCTGGAATTCGCCAGCGGAGCAAGCCTGCGCATCGGTGACGATCCGACCAGAGATCCGGAACCACCGAAGCCCGAAGATGGCGACCCCGCAGCTGCCACCCCAAGTGCCATGCGACGGAGAAGGAGCGAATCCCCCTCCTCCTCCAGCCCCACTCGTCCCACAGTTCGCCCACGTACTGATGCGGGCGATAGGCCTTCGTCCACGAACGCTATCCCGCCGCCCCCTTGATTTCCTCACCCTCGAACAGATCCACACCCCTGTCATCTTCCCCCGCCACCCCTTCCTTCCCCATCTCTTCCGCGATTTCTACTCTACCCGCCTACTCGCTACCGTCCACCCCCACCGACCCTTCAGCCCGCTGTCCCCACGTTCTGTCTGCATATCCTGTTGTTTAGCGCTGCGTGGGAGCGGTGCAACGTAGTAGAAGTCTACTGCGTAGCCACGGGAACGATCCCTGCCTGTCGCTACTACCACATCTTTCGCGCGGCGCTCCTCCGTACCCTCTCCTCCCTCTACCACGACTACCTCGCCTCTCTCCCTCACAGCGGCGATCTCTTCCCCCGCTTTCACCGAATCATCCGCTATGAGGAGCTTCCAATAGAAGGGATACATCGCTACCTCCCCCCACTTCCTCCCCGTCGACCCCGCGAACTCCCCTTCATATACCGCCTCTACTGGCCCATTCCAACAAGGCGGTAAAACCCAATCACATCACTATTCCCTCCCCCCCCCCCCCCCCCCCC